CCCCCTGGGACACCTGTACCCCACCAGCTTCTCTGTCGCTGCCTGGGTACACAAGTGCGGGCTGGCAGTTTTTTGATGCTTCACTGAATTCCATTGTGCCACGTAGCTAAATAACAAATTTACCAATTACCTATGAACAAAGTCCCTATTAATAAGGCAATTAGGATACCCATTATCAATTACATACCAACTACCCATTTCAGTAGTAATTATATTATTAGGTTACCAGTGACCACATTCTATATGCAAGTTAAAAATCGTCACAAACTCTTTATTTTAAAATGCCACACAAAAACATAATGAAATACAGAACATAATGAAATATACATAAGCAGGAGGCATGATGTCAGGCAAATAGTGGATGGTTTTACTGCTGTATTATATTACATGTAGCAGCTAAAATCAAGTTGCTAGTTTTGAAATTTAACATTTTACTTTTATCTAAATAAAATGTTTTGTAAGTTTGAAATATTTTTTTTTCCAAAACAAACACTTGAGAATATTATTCTACAGGGAATTGGCTTATCTTCCTGTCTTACATGGAGTAGGAAAAAATTAGGATCCTTTTTATAACAAATACCATACCCGATTTAAATTATCACTTTTCCCTCCAAGCTGTCTAATGAAGTCCCAAACACTAGCTAAGTCACATACTAAAGTAGTATTTCTGGTGTCAAATGACACTTTCTAAAAATGTGTGATTTTACCTCTTTATCTATGACAGAACCCGTAAGAGAAGCACTTGCCAAAATCAAATATGGCCTCAGGATGGAAACAGGAAAAGGTGGAAACTTCAGAAAATAAATGAAGCTGGTATCTAAAGTAAGAGTACTAAACTTCTCAGAACAGAGCTAGTACAATTGCTGGTAGTTTCTCACAAAGACCATCAAGACACTTTGTGGAAACTGATGAAATTTGATTTCCAGCATTAGGGACTCCCTGCCAAGGTTGAACTTACCAGCCTTCCCCTTGGTGGCATTGCAGCCATGGCTTCTGCCTAAGCACAGCCACTTTTTCTGGTAGAAATACTTGGCCATGAATCGCCTGGACCCTGTAGGAACGATGTATCTTTAGGAGTTGAGGCTTTTTATCAGACGTGGCTGAAACTGTATGTACACACATACGTGTCTCCCTGAGGTGGGGAAGAAAAAATGGAAATCTTCAAGGCCAAAGGGTTGGCACAGAGCTGATGGGTGCACCTGAGTCTGGGAAGGGGACAGAGCTATCAAATCTGTCAAGATCTAGTTTTAGCTCTCAGTATTGCATGTAGAGCCCCTGCCATCTAAACCGTGAGCAGAGGGAGAACAAGGTGTCACCTTACCCCCCACCCCAGACCGCCTGCAAGAGCTGATTATCAGTAAGGGTGAGAGCAGGCATGCGCTGGTCCC